GTTTTAATGTGTTAGTATTTATTAATTTTAATTATTTTTTTAATGTCCATATAGTTGGTATTATTTTTTATTTTATTGTAGTTTTTGTTATTTTATTACATCAATTTAAAAATGAGAATTATAATAAAAATAATTAAAAAAAATATTTTTTAGTTTACATAAATAACCCAGATTTTTATATATATAATGTGTGTTTTTTTTTTTTAAATGTACAATTATTCTAACATCCCCTGTTGAAACTGACACTACTTAGACCAGATTGGACGAGCTCCAAAATGATTTTAGATGGATAAAAAATGGTTATGTTTATAACTGGAGGTAGACCAACTTATCCAAACTGGTAACCAGTGAAGATTTAAACTAGTGCCCAGCTGAAGCAGTTCATCTGCTGGAGGTTGTTTGTTCTGCTTCTTACTGATGTCAGTTGTCAGGTTAGTTTCTCCAGGTAGTTCTGCACAGGTTCTGCCTCCGTTCTGCGGTGGGAAACACTCTCTCTGACGGACTTCAACACCGCCACAACCTTTACTGCAGTTCGACCACGTGACCCATGGCAGCCAGTAGCCATCGACTGTCAGACAGAACCAAAAACTCAACACCTGACACCAGAACGTTCAGACATCAGGTATGTATTTACATGGGGTAATATATTGTACCGGGGCAGGCGGTGGAGTAGCACTGCTGTCCCTGTGTTTTCTCTCCTCTGCAGTGTCCGTCTGAGTCCTCCAGGCTGCAGCGTCTCTGTCGGCTCATGGTTCCTGATCCACAGCTTCGACTGCAGGGGCTCCAGGAGCTCCAGGGACCCCAGACACCACAGCCCGTCTCATCTGAGGCGTCTGCGGGACAGTCTGCTGCACCGTTACACAACTACAGCAACACAAGGACAGACAGACCACACTGCCTCAACCACATCATGAATGACTCCAAGGTAAATGTCTAAAAAACAAGGTGGTATTCTCGAAGTATAAACACAAATAAACACATCAATATTGATTTCACGCAGATCAGTGTCTGTACCGCGTTGAAGGGCACACAGGATCCATCAGCACAGGTGAACTCCAGACAAACGCGACTGGCGTTTCCCTCACTAGGTGGCGCTGTGGTGGGACTGACTTTATCTGGAGAAAGAGAATTATACAAATTATACATTATTATATAGATATATAATAATTATCACAGTTCTCACAGCAGAACTGTTGTGTCTCCAAATAATTTGTTTCTGAATGAATCCACGTTCTGAACGAATCGAGAGAACCAATGATTCAATGGGCTATTCATAAAGAGAGCCATTTACTTCATTCCTGAATGAATCAGCAGTTTGAACGAATCAAATGAATGAATGAATGCCTCAATGACTTATTCATTAAGACATTTACCGCCACCTACTGGTAATTTTAGTTTCTTATTTTAGAGTATCCTTTCATTAAAAAAAAATCATATTTGCATATTAATAAAAAATCTGGGGGGGGGGGGTATCCATTTGATGCTTTTCTCAAATAATAACTTAAAATTATATTTTGGGGGTGATTTCTCTGCCAAATTTGATGTGAGATATATATATATATATAATTTACAGAATTTTAAGGTGATCCTTCTTGTCAACTGCTTTAAGGATTGAAATACATGTTTTAAATAATTTTTAAATGCCACAAAATTAGGAAAAACTAAGAAATAGTTCTTATTTTTTTTATTAATACTAATTAATACCAATTAATACTAGCACTTACCTATTCTATTCTATTCGTTTTGGTCTAATTTATTTATAAAAAAAAGACACCTTGATATGTGCACTGTGCTGGACTAACTGAGACTTGTCACAGCACTTGTATATTGTTGCTCTCTTGTTGGTCTGTTTGCTTCTACTTTGTAAGTCGCTTTGGATAAAAGCGTCTGCTAAATGACTAAATGTAAATGTAAGAAATCTACATGTGTGTAAATAAAACATCTACAGTATGATTAAAATATAATTGCCCAAAAATTCAACCTCTTTGCTTCTGATATGAACTTAAATGAATACTAATAATTAAGAATTAAAAATATTATTTTTGTGTGTATCTGTGATGCTTTTCACAAAATTCAACATACATACATATTTGTTTTATAATGTCATTCTGCATATAGAATAAACAGCTCTATTGATTATAGTTAATTAAATATTCATCTCAATAAACATTCTAGACATTTTGTTTTAGTAGAAACTAACCGCAGAGTATCTCATCCTCTCCTTTAGGGCAATCAGGAATCCCGTTACACACGCGTGAAATGTTAATGCATGTGCGGTTATCACAGGAGAAACTTCCCGGACAGGGAGGAATCCGTGTGGACCCTGGCGAGAAAAAATTATACATTTGTGACACTGCAGCACAAAAGCAGTCTTAAGTCGCTGGGGTATATTTGTAGCAATAGCCAACAATACATTGTATGGGTCAAAATTATTGATTTTTCTTTTATGCCAAAAATCATTAGGATATTAAGTAAAGATCATGTTCCATGAAGATATTTTGTAAATTTCCTACTGTAAATATATTAAAACGTAATTTTTGATTAGTAATATGCATTGCTAAGAACTTCATTTGGACAACTTTAAAGGTTATTTTCTCAATATTTAGATTTTTTTGCACCCTCAGATTCCAGGTTTTCAAATAGTTGTATCTCGGCCAAATCTTGTCCTATCCTAACAAACCATACATCAATGGAAAGCTTATTTATTCAACTTTCAGATTATGTATAAATATAAATTTCGAAAAATTGACCCTTATGACTGGTTTTGTGCTCCAGGGTCACATATGAAAACAACACAAAAAACAAAAACAAAAAGTGGCTTCAGTGTGCCCGGTGAACAGATGCACTCAGTGATTGTGGGAAATGAGATGACTAACTTCTTTTAAGAATACTAGAGGAACTTGTGTTTGTGTGCGTGTACTTGTTTATGCTACATTGTAGGGACCAAATGTCTCCACAAGATTGTAAAACCTAAAATTTTTTACATTGTGGGGGCCAGTCTGCGGTCCCCACGAGGGAAAAAATTATTACAAATAGTAAATGATGTTTATCTGAAAGTGTAACAGTGCAAACAGGTTTTCTGTAAGGGGTAGGTTTAGGGGATAGAAAATATTGTTTGGTCAGTATAAAAACAATAGAAGTCTATGAAAAAAGTCCCCACAATTCACAGAAACAAACGTGTGTGCATGCGTGTGTGTGCATGTGTGTGTGTGTGTGTGTGTGTGTGCATGCGTGTGTGTGTGTGTGTTTACCGCAGTTGTCCACGCTCTCGTCTGAGGCGTCTCTGCAGTGGGGCGTCCCGTCACACAGCTGCTGGTGTTGGATGCACTGGTCTCCGGTCTGGCACAGAAACTGGTCAGACTGACATGTGCGGGAACAGCGTTTCTCATCGCTCCCATCCAGACAGTCTGTCTCGCCGTCACAGCGCCACGCTAACGGCACACACTGACCGCTAGTGCAGCCGAACTCAAACTGACTGCATCCTGAAATCACAGCATCAGTTGTGATAATAAAAAATGCTTTATAACTGCATCAAACTTTCAGTTAATCTTTGAATCAGATGATACTGTTGATACTTAGCTGTAAGAGTTTTTATTTTATTTTAGTTATTATTTGTTTATTTTTACTTTATTATTATGATATGTTATATATGTTATATACCACAACTGTTCTGTTTATTAAAAAAAAAAAAGTTAATAGCTCAGTTATAATGCAGGTCAAAGTTCAGTGTTTCCTGCACCAAAAACTGTTGTAAATTCATTTTTTGTCTTTGTTTTTAGCATTTGAATAAGTTTTTATATACATTTTGGTCTTTTGTAATTATGTTTTATGTAATTAAAGAGTTGAAGTTATAATTTTGAGTTAAAGATTTGAGGTTTTATTTGATTTAAAAGTCATATGTTAAAGACCTTTTGATGTCGTTACTATGTTAATTTCTGAATTTATTATTTTTGCAGTTCTTGACCCTTTGAAAATAAATGTTTACATTAATAAATGTAATTTTTTTATTTTCAAGAAAGGGGTAGAATATTTGTAGAATATTTAGTTGATTGTCTTTATGCTTGCAAAATAGGAAAGAAATGGTTTTGCAGTTTAGTTTCTAATAAATGCACTTTTTGAACTAATGAGCATTGGTACGTGTTCATAAAAAATAGTTTTATTTAAATTTAAATTTCAGAAAAGCATAGTCCTGTTTTGCATGGATACCTTTGACAGGACAGATGAGCTCATCGATGCCGGATGGACAGTCCCTGTGACCGTCACACACTCTCTCTGCAGACACACACTGATCTCCAGGACACTGCAGCTCTCCGATGGCACACACACACCCTCTCTCATCGCTGTAGTCCCCGCAGTCATCGTGACCGTCACAGCGGTGGAGGAACAACACACAACGACCCGACGAACAGCGGAACTCGTCCTGTCTGCACAACACGCCACAGTCTGCAACAACACTCAGCATTAACATCACGACAGGATGAAAGTGAGAATATGGAGAGAAAACATCAAATTCTAATCGCTTGTAATGTAATCAGTTAGATCAGCTAAAATGACTCTTTTCTTCATACAAATTGCTTTCAGTAATATTTTTGGGTGTTTATGCATCATTATCTGATTTGCATAATTTCTTTAGCTAAAACACTGACAATACTTGCAAATAAACTATGGATTTACAAAATATTAATATCATATCAGTTATCGGCATGCTCATTTTCTCCTTAATTTACATGCAGATAATATTTGCCATGTTAATGATTAATAACATTAATAATTTAATAATGATTGTTTATTATACTTTATATTAAATTACTGTTTTCAGCCTAAATTCACTTGCAGCGTTTAAAACTAACGTTTTTAGTTTTATGTTTTCAGACAAAAATATTTAATTTATTGCAGATTCTCATTTACATGGCCAAATGTTTTTAATTCTGATGCTTGTAATGTAAAACAACGAGATCTTTATAAAAGTATAGCAAGTAAGTACCTACATAAGATCATATAAATATCAGTCATCAATCCACATCTCCAATATACACGAGAAGCTCAAGCTGAAGCTGGACGTGATACTAAGACCTTTGACTTGAAAAATTTTAAACTATCAAGCCATGGAGTAGATCGTGTGCAACAGGTTTATCAGCAAATTTTGATCATGTTGATCATTTAGAGTTTTAGAAATTCATCAAACATACCGTGTTCATCAGAATCATCAGCAAATCCACAATCCAGCCTCCCGTCACAGACTTTATGAGCCGGCAGACAGCGTCCGTTCACACACCTGAACTCTCCGGCCGGACAGCCGGGCTCTGGTGAGCTCGGGGCACAGAAGTCCTCGTCTGATTGGTCGGCGCAGTCGGGATGGCCGTTACACCTGAGCTCCAGCGGTAAGCAGGCCCCGCCGGAACAGCGGAACTGATCTGGAGGACAGGTGGAGGGACAGAGCTCATCCGAACCGTCGCCGCAGTCGTCCTCATTATCACAGAGCCAGACGGCGGGAATACAGCGCTGAGAGCCGCCGGAGCACAGGAACTCTGAGTCCTCACACAGAGACGGAGGAGGACATGGAGATCCAACACAACGCCACAAACCATCAGAACAAGAGCTGAAGGACAGAACACAGAATTTAGGATTAAAAGAGCAAAGAAAATTTAGATGGAAAATCATACCAATACAAAAAACTTATTAACCAATTAATTGTTATTTACTTCAGCTCAAACACTCCTGCTTTCTTTATAACATTGCTTTCAGCAATCATTTTTGGGTGTTTATGCATCATTACATAATTTGCATAATTCCTTTAGCTAAAACACAGACAACATGTGCAAATAAATTAGGGATGTACAAAATATTGGTATTAGATCTTTTTTTTTTTTTTTGGAATGCTTATTTTTCACCTAAATTTACATTTAGATAACATTTACCATGTTAATGTTTAATAACATTAATGGTTTAACAATGATTTTCTGTCTTTCATAACGTATTATTAATAATGAATATGTATTATATTACTGTTTTAAGCATAAATTCACTCGCAGTGTTTAAAACTACTGGTTTTATTTTTACTTTTTTATTTTTGTTTTTAGATAAAATAGTATATTAAAATAGTAATTGTAGTACATTTTGTTATAATTTTTTTTTAGACAGAAATGGTATATTAAAATAGTCATTTTAGCACATTTTGTTGTTTTTAGACAAAAATAATATTTTTAAAAACAATAATTTTAGTAAAATGGTATTTTTTATTTTTTATTACGTTTTTTTTAGATTTTATGTTTTTAGAAAAAATGGTATATTAAAATAATATTTTTAGTGAAATAGTATTTTATATTTATTTTTGTATTTAGACCAAATCATATATTAAAATACTAATTTTAGTTTTTTTTTTTTTTAAGACAAAATATTTTAATATTAATTTGTCTGTTTATTATTTATCCTTTGTTAACCATGGAATGAAAATAATAATCAGCATGGCCAGTATTTCAATGCAAAATCTGTGCATGCCTAAAATAAACAAAACAATCAGCACACGAAATTCATTCTCAGTAAATTCCCCTCTGAAAGTTTGACCAAAAGAGTATATTTACAAAACTAAATTGCAATTCCGTTTGCTGCAGTACAGTCTCTCTAAACTGACCAGTTCTGACAGTGCTGAGTGACAGTCGCTCCTGCGGGAAATAAAGATCCGTCCCACTCACACGGACACTGAGACGGAGGGATACAGACGTCACCTGCAGACGACAGACAGACATCAGACATCCTGTATTCAAAAAAACTAAAACCGCAAAGCAAATACGTAACTACTGCAAAACGCATCAGATGAACACATAAGGCACACACACATAAACACACACTTCTCTTACCGTGTCTCACAGTGCCGTGAGGACAGAAACATCCCTCCACACAGGAGAGGGCGCTGCAGAGGGGATCAGACACAGAAGGAGTGCCGGGACACGCTGGAGAACAGGCAGGGCCGCAGGCCTCATAAACCAAACCGTTCTCACACTGCAGCGCTGGAGACACACAACAGGACACAGTATTATACACACAAAATGTATAGAAGTCAGTCGGATGGGTATAATAACTCACTGAGCAGACTCACGGCAGAGTTCCTGTGACCTCCAGCGCACATACGCTCCTCTGCGGTTACACTCTTCTGCATACGCTGCTACAGCCGTACACAAACACTCACAGTCACCGCCTGAGTCACACCTGCAAAACACAGCAAACACAAGTCTTTTAAAAGCCCTAAGTACAGTATGAACAATAGAGATCCTGATGCATATGATACATTGAATATCAAGTTTCAGTGAGTGGGTTTCTTACCCGCAGGCGTCAAAGACACACCAGTCGTAGTACTGCTGAGACGACACTTCTGAGTGACACGAGCTGAAGATCTCCTGACTGATCACCGCACACTTCTTTTTGGCCCACGTCACCCGGTGAGGGTTGATCTGAAGGTCGAGAACGGTCATTTAACATTTACAATAACTACTGTGATACTATAGATGCATTTATTCTTTATTTTCTTATTCTTTTAGTTTTACTTTGATTTTAAAGATTATATTATTGCATGACATGATATGTTTGCTGCGAAGCACTCTGTAAACATTTTAGCCAGTGTTATATAAATTTAAATTAAAGGCACAATATGTAAGATTTTTTTATTAAAATATCCCAAAACCACTAGAACAGTGTTATATATTTTGCTGACTTGTGTACTTACATTATCTCAAATGTTTCGAAGAATGTTTAAATCCAGAGAAATAAGCAATTTTAACTTTCTAGCGGCGAAAATAACATATTGTGCCTTTAAGTCTTACTCTAAAGGTCCAATCAGGAATTACATAATTTCTGAAGAGACTGTTTTTGCCTAAACTTCAAGGAAAGGTGAATCTTAGTAATCTTATTTCTCAACTAACATTTGCCAAGTTAACGTTTAATGTGATTTTATTTTTACTTTTAGATTTTTTAATGCCAAAATAGTTGATTAAAAATGGTAATTTTTGTAAAATATGATTACATTTTCTTATATTTTAGGCAAAATCGTGTTAAAATAGTCATTTTAGTAATATTTTTATGTTTTTAGACAACATAGTATATCAAAATAAAAAGAAATTTAAGTTAAACATTTTTGTTTTTTTATGAGCATTTTCAAAATTATAATTTTTGAAAAATAGTATTTTGTATTTTTAGTTTTAAACAAAACAGTATAATAAAATAGTGAATTTAGTAAAAAATTTATAAAAAAATTGCATATTGAAAAATTAATTTTATTATCAGTTTATGTTTATCATTACTCTCTTATTAACCATAGAATGAAAATACTAATCCACATTTCCAGAATTTTGACGTAGAATCCATGCATTCTTAAAATAAATAATACAGCATCAGCACATGCAATTCATTCATAGAATTTCACACATGCACTTCATTCATAGAGAGTTCATCCAAGAGATATGAGAGCATTTACTCAATTCAGACAATGAAAATGTAATTTATAAAGAATTAAATTAATTATTTTTGTGATTCTGTTTGGTGCAGTACTACTTACAACACAGGGGTCACGGAGATCCTGGTCTGAGACGTCAGGGCATGACGGGCTGATCTTCCAGGAGTTTCCAAACAGTTCTGGAGTGGATTCCATGATGCCTTGTCTTGTGGTGAAGTCATTTTCTGCATCTCCATCAAAATTTCCGCACAATCCTCCGACTTGGCCACGCAAGTGAGGCATCAGCCGGACATAAACACGCATTCCTGTGTAACAGATACCGTGTTTAAAAAGAATCTAATAACTGATCCGGAATAAAATAATAAGAATGGACATACCTCCATCCCAGAGCAGAGTGACTCCGAGTCGAGACGAGAGGGACACAAATAATCCGACCTGCTCCAGAATCAAACCACTGCCCGAATACAACTTTGGAAGAGTCACTGGAACCCCGTTGACCATCACAGCTTTACCTGAGAGAAAAAAAAACGTGCAATCACACAATGCGAAAATATTACTCGCATAAATCTGAATGCAATCAGATCTGATGTAACTTAGAAATTGCTTTTTGTCACATCAATACAGTGTAAAATTAAATCAAATAAATAAATCTAGATGGAATAAAATGTATTGTTAATTAATTAAATAAATAAATATTCTAAATAAAATGAAATGAAATACATATACTTAAAAAAATAAATATATCTAGATTAACACAATAAATTATAAATAAATAAAATAATCTAGATAAAATATAATTAAATATATATACTTTTCTCAATAAATAAATCCAGATATAATGAACTTTAAATAAATAAATACATTTGGATAGAATAAAATTCATTATAAATAAATTAATTAATTAATTAATCCAGATCAAATAAAATGTAATACATATACTTATATCGGTCAATAAATGCATCTAGCTTAATACAATGAATTAATTATGAATATATAAAATAACCTAGATAAAATAAAATTAAATACATATATTTATAAATAAATCTAGATAGAATCTAATTAAATATAAATAATAAAAAAAAAAAATCAAATAAAGAAATAAGTAAACATTGTCAACATTCAAATGTTAATAAAACACGTTCTACACTAAAATAATGCGTATTCCTTTAATTATAAAATTTAAATAAATGAAAACTTGAATACATAAATAATAAATAACTTAAATACATATGCTTAATATATATTAGTATATAAATGTATTAGTTTTTTATAATTAAAGCAATAGTGATCTAACAATATAACAGCTGCTATATTCATATTGATGAGTAACTCTCCTGTGTGTGTGTGTGTGTGTGTGTGTGTGTTTCACCTCTGAGCAGGTGTATGGCCGTGTTTCCCACGGTCAGCGTGACAGATTTGGTGCAGGTCACTCCTGTGCTGCCGCAGGGCACGTTCTCGGCGCTGACGCTGAACAAACCGCTGCTCTCCTGCACCAGAACATACTCACAGTCGCCCAGGAAAGAGTAATATCGGCCGTCAAACGTGATGTAGTGAGGGTCACCGGTGGCCACGCAGGTGCCAGAACACAACGACTGACCGCAGTGCCAGCGCTGCTCACGACACACACTGTCAACGTGAACAACAGGTTTATACATGACAGTAACATGCATTTACAAAAGCACTGGGCTTCATTTCACATCATAAGCAAAGCATCTTTTTGATGTTGTGTTGTTTTGGTTACCATTGGCTTCCATTGTATGAACAAAAATAAATAGATACTCAGACAATTCTCAAATGATCTTCTTTTATGCTTCACAGAAGAAAGAAAATCATACAGGTTTGAAACAACAAGAGGGTAAGTGAATGATTACAGAATTTTAATTTTTTTGTGAGTTTTCCCTTTAATACCCTTTTAAAACCCTTTAATCTCACGGCATTATTTATGCAATTGTAATTCATGCCTCCTCTGAGTTCATACTTTTTCAGCCAGATTTGAAGTGTAATTAATTAGCACACAAATTAATTACATATTAAAATATTTATTCATTTCAGCTGCTCAGACAAGATGCTGTATTTATAGGACATGTTTCATGTTTTCTATATTTACATTTGCATGTTGAGTTAACATATCTATAGGCCTCATTTATTTAATCAAATATCCACACAAAAAAGTAATAAGAAAGAGAGAGAGATAAATATACATAAATAAATTAATGTTCCTGCTCACCAAGTGTTGCAGTCTTTAGAAATGGTGTGATTGGTGAAATAAAGTCTGCCGTTGTGGTGACACGGACACTCGTCTGGCTTTACACACTGATCACCCTGAAAACACAAAGAATAATCAAAAGAGAAAACAACACGAGAGATTTATAGAGGTTATAATGACACAAATTTGTTTTAAAAAGAGCGCTAGTTTAGCCATTAATTATGTTTATGTCCTTAAAACCACATGAGTTGTGTGGTTTTATATCAATATCTGTTTGCATTAATGACATCTATATGCTACTCTGTTACTACAAGTCATAAAATGCAGACATACAGTACACATTTAATCAGTCCTTCTCTTGTGGAAACGGACCAATAACAGAGAATAACAGTTTTGGTCCAATCAGATGCTTTCTAGAATGAGAAGGTCCCACCCCCTAATGTTCCTCTTTAGCAGCAAATCAGAAACAACAAGGGGGTAAGTGAATGATTACAGAATTTTAATTTTTTTGTGAGTTTTCCCTTTAATACCCTTTTAAAACCCTTTAATCTCACGGCATTATTTATGCAATTGTAATTCATGCCTCCTCTGAGCTAATAAACAAGTCTGTATATCTAGTTACCAATTCATATGCAGATTATGAAAAAAATAATATAATCATGACTGTCATAGCCTAAAATTTATGTGTAATAAATTATATGTTGAATCAAATATTTCATCCTAAAGCTACTTTTTGTAACGTCTATTTGATGCTTTTCTCATTTAACACATTAATTACTTTACATGATTTTTTTTTGGGGGGGGTACTTTTTTAGCCAGATTTGAAGTGTAAGTAATTAGCACACACATTAATTACATATTAAAATATTTATTCATTTCAGCTGCTCAGACAAGTTGCTGTATTTATAGGACATGTTTCATGTTTTCTATATTTACATATGCATGTTGAGTTAACATATCTATAGGCCGCATTTATTTAATCAAATATCCACACAAAAAAGTAATAAGAAAGCGAGAGAGATAAATATATATAAATAAACTCCTGTTCCTGCTCACCAAGTGTTGCAGTCTTTAGAAATGGTGTGATTGGTGAAATAAAGTCTGCCGTTGTGGTGACACGGACACTCGTCTGGCTTTACACACTGATCACCCTGAAAACACAAAGAATAATCAAAAGAGAAAACAACACGAGAGATTTATAGAGGTTATAATGACACAAATTTGTTTTAAAAAGAGCGCTAGTTTAGCCATTAATTATGTTTATGTCCTTAAAACCACATGAGTTGTGTGGTTTTATATCAATATCTGTTTGCATTAATGACATCTATATGCTACTCTGTTACTACAAGTCATAAAATGCAGACATACAGTACACATTTAATCAGTCCTTCTCTTGTGGAAACGGACCAATAACAGAGAATAACAGTTTTGGTCCAATCAGATGCTTTCTAGAATGAGAAGGTCCCACCCCCTAATGTTCCTCTTTAGCAGCAAATCATGGTCATCAGTAGAAAATGCATGAACACATGAAGGAAAACTGTGCATGTCAAGCAGCATGATGGTGTTTATGTAACTGAGAGGAGACGCACCAGCAGCACGGTTCCCTCAGGACAGACGCAGCCGTGGACGGGTTCAGCACACGCGTCCAGAGGAGAGTTCGGACTGGAGCAGGTCCTCAGACACGATCGAGGAGAGAAGACCAGAGAGCCCGGACACTGATTGACCTCAGGACACGAGAGATCCGTGCAGTTCCACACGCCACGCACACAAACACTATAAACACACAGTTCACTGACATTACTTTACTTTAGCTGTGCTTGATCATTGAAAACCTGCTGCCATGCTGCTGGAGTGTTCTGGGCGATTGCTAGCAGTGTTATTACTGTTAACTAAAACTAAACTACATTTTTTATATATTTTTTTCCTTTGAAAACTGCAAAAAAAGCCTGAAGAAATACATGCTTTCATTCTGTCAACTGTGACTCTGTTATAAAACACAGAAATCATAAATCTCTTTCTGAGCTCTATTCTTTCATTGTATGTACAGTTGTTTGGTTCGGAGGTCACACAGAGGTCACACTGCTTGGTCCTTTCAAGAAAGAAGGAGAGTCAAGAAAGGCAGATAACCGAGTGTTTGACAAGTCAACAGTAAAGTTAAATGCGCACTAGTGTCTGTGACTGCGCATCTTACATTTCGGAGGATCTCTTTACTAAGGTCACTTCTCTTCATTGTTTGTTTGAATTGTGTTTAAATCATCAGGTATTTTTGGTCATTTTTAGTGGCTGCATGAAGTGAATTCTCCTCAAGTTAACACAGGTGTCCTAGACCTAGAGGAACAACAGGTGCAGAGAATCAAATCAAATCAAATAAATAAATAAATAAATCTAGACTGAATAAAATTGTTAATTTTATATTATAATATTAATTATTACAAATTATTTAAATAAACAATCTAGATATTAAATAAAATGAGATACATTCATTTTTATCAATAAACAAATAAATCTAGATAAATACAATGACTTAATTATAAATAAATAAAATATTCTCAAAGAAAATAAATAAAATAATTCTAAAATACCATTAAATATTTATACTTTTATCAATTAATCAACAAATAAATGAAATACATACCTTTACACACAAATAAATATAGATAGAGTACAATTTATTATAAATAAATAAATAATCAATCTAGATAAAATAAAATTAAATACATATACTTTATCAATGAATAAAAAATCTATCTGTATGCAGTTACTTATAAATGAATAAAATAATCTAAATAAAATAAAATAAAATTAAATACACATATTTTATAAATAATTCCAGTTAGAATTAAATCAATCAATCAATCAATCAATCAATCAATCATTCAGATAGAAATTAATTAATTAATTAAATCTAGATAAGTTAAACTTTTATTGTGACAACATAAAGAATTGCTGATGAACAATCTCAAAAACAACTGTTCAGCTGCTGAACCCTGGATCTGTTGTTTTTATCTGAGAGCATGTGTTACTCATATACTGTACACACACACATGTGGAGGTGTAAGGAAACGCATTATAAAAGTGTCCGCTTGTGCAATCTCAATCTGCGTTTCAGTATGGGTCTGACCCAAACTCCACATTACCACACCGAGCATGAGGAGCGGATGAGAAACACGCTCAGATATCAGCCTCCATAAAGCACAGCGGCGTGTGTCGGCTGATCTCGAGGCACAAGAGACGCAATGAAATCAACCTATCCCGAGACACGAGCTCGCGGGTCATAGAGTGACTTCATCAGATACCTCACACCTCACAAACACTCGCTGACACGGGACGGCACGTGCAAAACCAGCCACATGGCCCATGACCGGAGAAGAGTGCAAACCTCAACCTCAAGCTGAACTGCAGATCGTGTGTGTGTTGAACAGAGGTGTTCTCAGATGCACAATTCCTTACCTTACCTTAGCAACCACCCAGAACACCCTAGGTACCACTCAAAACACCTTAGCAACCACTCAGAACACCTTAGCAACCACCCAGAACACCTTAGCAATCACCCAGAACACCCTAGCAACCACTCAGAACACCTTAGCAACCACCCAGAACACCTTAGCAATCACCCATAACACCCTAGCAACCACTCAGAACACCTTAGTAACCACCCAGACCACCCTAGCAACCACTCAGAACACCCTAGCAACCACTCAGAACACCTTAATAACCACCCTGAACACCCTAGCAACCACTCAGAACACCTTAGCAATCACCCATAACACCCTAGCAACCACTCAGAACACCTTAGTAACCACCCAGAACACCCTAGCAACCACTCAGAACACCTTAGTAACTGTTGTGGGGTTGTAATACTGTTCATATTGTCTTCAGACAAAGAAAAAATCTAGTTGATAAAAGCAATTATTTCAAATGTCAGGTTATACCTGACAATGCAACTGATGCAATATTTTATAAATAACACATATGCAATATATATATATATATATATTCTGCTGGTCAGAGATTTATGAATTTGTTTCTCTTTGGCCCACATACATGCATAAGTTTGAGTACAAAGGTAATTTTTGCTGAATATTTGCTGTGTTATCAGAGAACAGATGATAAAAATCAGTCTCAAGAACCATAAAACAGACAAGAGGCTTTTAACAACAGGATCATAAAAAGCTTCAACGAGATGACAGATGGACCAATCTGTCACTCTCACTATTGCTTCATTTCGCTTTATATCTCTCCCTTTTATTTCTATTTCCAGGTCATATTTAACCTCAAAAGTATATTTATATTCAAATATATTTTAGTAAATTAAAATATTACACTTTTTATTAAATCTTTTAATAAATACTAAAATATTTTATTCAAAATTGCATAAATGAAGCTAATACAGCAAAATAAAACAAATGATAGCAAACATTTTTTTTTTTTGCATTAAAGGCAGGGTAAGTGATTTCTGGTAGCCAATGTTGACATTTGAAATCACCAAAACATTTAATGGAGAAAATGCTTTTTATTAATGAAAATATATGTCAAAAAATTTACAAAAAAAAAATCTAAACAGTCCTAAAAATCTGTTTCAATTTTGATTTTGGGTTGAAATGTGGTCCAATGATATTCAAGCTGGAATTCAAAGCAAAGCATGGAAATTGTATGGGAAATATAATTAATTCTAATTTATAACTTATCTAATATTTAATAATTAATCATTTTAAAAATGGAACAGCATCTATATTTATCACAATAAGCTGAATTTGCCCACAATATTACCATGAACTTATTACAGATTCAGTCCCTTTGAAGCAACTTGTGTGAAAGTACAGTATCTTCCTCAAGGTTCATGACTTTTTTTATTGCAGGGATCTGAACTAGCAACCCTCTGGTTACCTGCCTTGAGTCTAAACCACCGCCCTGGCTATTTTGGCACTAAGCCACACGCCACCCCTCATGAGTGTGAATCAGATGCTGTGATTTCCTACCAGCGGTTGCAGTTCTTCTGTACGGTGCTCCCGGCGGGATGGAGCGCATCTGCATGTCTGCAGGGACACACGTCCACCGGCACACACTGACCCTGATCGTCCTGAGCCAGTCCATCCGGACACTGACACCCCGGCACACAGACCCTGCTGCCCTCCTGCTCCTCACAGCTCCAGCCGTCCCACAGATCAGCGCAGGACGTCCCGCACTCCTGATACACCTGCCCTCCAGAGCACTGCACCGCTGCGGGGAGACACAACACTTCATACACTGGGTAAATTATCTATTAACTATTTTCATCAATATTTTTGATATTGATATTCTCTCGACTTGCATTACAATGCAATCTGGGAATGTATCAGAGCACCTCTCAAATGTTTTACACCACTGTATTTAATACTACATAATAGTAAATATTCTTCTGTACGGTGCTCCCGGCGGGATGGAGCGCGTCTGCATGTCTGCAGGGACACACGTCCACCGGCACACACTGACCCTGATCGTCCTGAGCCAGTCCATCCGGACACTGACACCCCGGCACACAGACCCTGCTGCCCTCCTGCTCCTCACAGCTCCAGCCATCCCACAGATCAGCACAGGACGTCCCGCACAGACGCCCGCACTCCTGATACACCTGCCCTCCAGAGCACTGCACCGCTGCGGGGAGACACAACACTTCATACACTGGGTGACACTATCATATATTATATTAAATATTATATATTAAATTGTATAATATTTTTATATATTATATTATTATATAATTCATATATTTAATTAATATCAATTAATAATAAATATTATAAATAACTACATTATATAAAAAATAACAATACAAATATTACAAATATCATATATATTTATCGTTAGAAATTATTTAATATATTATTGCATAAAATAATATGTTTTATGTATTGATAATAATATTATTTATAATATTAATAATTATATTGAATAATATTCAAATATTATTATAAATATAAAAAAATATCATATAATATTGACATGTAAGGCGTGTAAGATTACACCATTTCTTACAGCAGAATGTGCGATTTCACCACTTTGAATCATAATGATTATACATTAAATTATATATGATAATGCATTAAGTGATATTAATAAAGATGAATGTAACCAAGCAGTTTCTTACAGCAGAATGTGCGGTTTCTCCAGCTGAGCGGCGCCCCCTCTTGGGCGCAGTGCCGGGCGAAGGCGGTGAGGACGGTGCACTGGCAGGAGTTCTGCGGGCCGCAGCTGCACACTTCACTGAGACACAGACGCATGTACGGCTCTCTGTCCACCACATCATGACACGCCTGCAACAGACGCTTCAGCTTCACTGCAACGACCGACCTATTGACCAGTGACCAACACTACTGACCTGAAACACACTGACCTGAAACACCGCGCTGTGAATCACAGAGCACACGCTCTCTGCATACCGTCTGCGCTGTGTGTGTGTCCCGCAGGGGTCAGAGGTCATCGCTGAGGGCAGAGGGCATGATCCTGTTCTGAACTTGGCAGCAAAAGAGGCCACGCTGGTCTCCACGTCACCTTCAGGTGTGGTGAAATCATCACGCTGACTCCAGCTCAGAGTGCCACATAAACCACGAACCTGACAGCACAACAAACAGCACCATAACTGCAGCTTCAGCTACCAAAGAGCTACCAAAAATCAAGTAATTCATGATTCTGAAGAGTTCAGTGTGTTATGTGGTACCTTATGAGCGAATCCCGGCTGTAGGGTGATGAGGAGCAGAGGCCCGTCCAGATGCCACATCATTTGAGCTCCAAACGCCTGGATCAGCAGAACACTGGATGAAGCCTTTCTGACCATCAGATCTCCTGTGATCACCGGCAGCAGCTCCCGCTGACCGTTCACCATCACCGAACCTGAGACCAACACAACAACACGATGAGAATGTGTATCTACAATCCATTAAACGAATACCTTTATTCAGCACAATAAATTGATCAAAAGTTACAGTAAAGACATTTATAATGTATACAAAACACAATGAACTTTCTATTCATCTGTGAATCGTGAAAATAAAATGTATCACAGTTTCCACAAAACTATGAAGCAGCACAACTGTTTTCAACACTGATAATAATCAGAAATGTTTCTTGAGCAGCAAATCAGAATATTAGAATGATTTCTGAAGATCATGTGACACTGAAGACTGGAGTAATGATGCCGAAAATACAGCTTTGATCACAGAAATAAATTATATTTTAACAGATATTCACATAGAAAACAGTTATTTTAAATTGTAATAATATTTCACAATATTACTCTATTTTTTGTAAACAAATATATGCAGTCTTAGTGAGCAGAAGAGATTTGTAAAAAAAAAGAAAAGAATAGTGTAATTAAAATTATTTTAAAAATAGTATAACTTAAATATATATAATTTAAATTTATCGCAGTGACCGTCATTTCTCTCAGACATCCAGCAGCTCCTCCTGCACACGGTCCTCCGCTGATGCTGACAGAGAGCTTTTTATCCACAAAATCCTGCAAACACAGCAGAGAGATGCTTTCAGATGATCTCAGACACACAGTGAAGCTGTAGATCCGTCTCCTCGTGGTCACTGACCTCTACAGCTGTGAAGCGGCAGTCGCCGGCCTGCAGGCCGTATCTCTTCTGATCGAAGGTGGTGATGTGCATCGCTCCGATCACAGCGCACTGAGCTTCACACTTCTCTCCAGAACATTCCCACTGACCGGCGCGACACACACTGGGAGACGGAAAAATAGTAACAGGGACCTTCAACCGAAGCACACAGGCTACAGTGGTTTCTGTCTGCATGCGTGAGGCTTGACTCACCAGGTGTTGCAGCGCTGTCTGATGGCGTCTCCTGCGCTGTAGCTGTGGCGTCTGTGGAAGCAGGGACAGTCGTCCCGTCGCAGACACTGACCCGCATGCAGGTAGAGACCCGGGGGACACTCGCACCCCCCCACACACTCGTCCCGACACTGACCCGACGCCGGAGGACGAGGAGACGAGCAGGTGGGGGGACAGGACGACACACAGTCAGAGAACACCTGACCGCTCGGACAAACACGCTCTGCGGATGGAAATAAATGTAGGTATTTAAAACTTAATGAATACAGGTGCATCTCAATAAATTAGAATGTTGTGGAAATTTTTTTTGTCTTGTTTTTTTTATTGGTCTTATGAAGTATTCTAATTTGTTGAGATAGTGAATTGGTGGGTTTTTGTTAAATGTGAGCCAAAATCATCACAATTAAAAGAACCAAAGACTTAAACTACTTCAGTCTGTGTGCATTGAATTTATTTAATACACGAGTTTCACAATTTGAGTTGAATTACTGAAATAAATGAACTTTTCCACGACATTCTAATTTATTGAGATGCACCTGTATATAAAAATATTTGAAAAAATATATAGCCTTAAAATATATTACAAATATATTTTTATTTATTCAAAAAATATTTTAATAAATGCATTTTTTTTTTGTTTCAGGGCATTCCTTTTTTTATCCACTTTAAGGATTGAAAGCTAATCTAATCATGCTATTTTTACAGTATATACCACTGTTATTAATTTAGCATAATTTATAAACTATTACAACTTTTATTCATATTTTTAATTAGTATTTATTTTTAAATTGTCAGTTTTTTGTCAATATTACTATTTAAGTTTAATTTACTATTTACTGTTTATTTTATCTTTATTTCATTTTTAGCTATTTGAGTTATTTTAGACATCAAGTTAAACTAAATTAAAGGATAAAGTGAGTAATGTTGCCTGGGCAACTAGATGAAATAAAATATTTTTGTATTTAATTTAATTTAATTTAAAGTTTATTATATTTAAAGCAATGAAAATGATTTAGTTAACTATTATAACCCTGAATTTTGGTGCTTCAACTTATTTTAGTCAGTTAGCAACCATAGAATACCGTATCCCATAATGCAATGCATTCAACTCCTATTTGTTGTGTAAAAATGTTGTGTAAACAAGACATTTTTATACAACACTGAAACAAAAATGCATAGTAATCATATTAATATTTCAGACAAAAATACGACAGAAATATTATGCAACAGGTCATGTGACAACATGCAACAGTGTGAAATATTTGTCATTGCATAACTTACACTGTTTCACATATAATATTTAATAATAATAGCATGCAGACTACAGTATAACATGCAGTAGTATGCAAGCATTCTGAAAAAAATTATATTATAATGTTAACCATGAGATTTTTAAATGCTAATATCCACTATGAATAGCATCGAAAATACCCTATATTAGTGTTAATTAAATCTTGTTCTGACTTTTAACTAACATAAAATTCCTATCATCTTATGAAGTTGAAATATGATCCAATGTTTTTGACAGATTGTGTGAAAATATATTTTAAAAATTGCAAAAAAATATGATTGAATATTACAAAATGAACCAACAGATGTCAGTTTAAGCTGAAGTATGAAGTACCACAGAAGCCGGCGCTCCTCCAGCGGATGATGACGTGTTGTTGCGCACACTCGCGCACGTAGCTGGCTAACGTGTCGCACACTGCCGTATCTCTGTCCTTCACATCCACACTGCAGTACAGATACAGACACGTGTCGATATACGGACCGGGATCCACCTGAGCAGACCGAGAGGATGTTAGTCCTGAACTCTGTTAGTTTAATGATCTAGTTTATATTTAGTTTAGTCTAACCTGGTGATGGCAGTGTGAGAACGGACTCTCTTTGAGACGGTGACAGGCTGTTTCTGCGTCCCGCCGGAGAGAAACGTCACTGGACAGATCACAACTGTGACCCAACTCTGCTGCATCACTACACACCTGTGTGTTAGACATCACAACAATAAGACTACACTACCCACAATGCTTTGGGCCAGAGGTTTTTAATTCAATACAGTTTACGTTTATATAGCATATTTCACAATACATAGTACCTTATGATGTTTACTCATATTTATTTCATGCTATAACTTGTAATAAAGTGCAACTTCTTAAAAAAAAAGCTCTTTGCGATTACTGGATGAGGTGCATTACAAATAATGTTAGGTGAAGGTAAAATAAAAAATCTGGCAACCCGGCTTGAACTGAGGGTGATTTATAGGGTCAAATAGAACCTGCATTAAAGATGCTGCATTACTGTGTTATTATTGCTTAAACTTGGACAGCTTTTATCAGCCGATATCGATTTTATTATTTGAATCTATTTATTTATTTTAATGAAATATTTATTTATTCATTTAGCTTTTTGTATGAGTGTGTGTTGAACACAGCAACAATGCTATTGTGACTTTAACTCAACTCTATTTGGACAGTTACTGTATGCTTCCATCCAAAACAGGGTATATGGATATTTATAAAAATATATGATTATGTAAACATGAGCAATGCTATTTAGAAACCTTTTTTAAAAAAAATGCTATTGCTATTTAGAAAGAATTTTAGTTTATTCCAATTGTATCAAAAAAAAAAATGTTTCCCACCTGGCCTTGCTGATCTTGAACACGCCATGAGTTTCCAAAGCTGGCAGCATACGGAGACACACTTCCACTGCTGGTAGTGAAGTCATCTGTATGAAATATAAACATTGCATTGCATATTGCATGTAAAATACTGCAAGTATACAGTGCATTAGAAATGCATGAAAAGAGTGTAATGTCAGATTTTGCAATTAAGTCAAACCAGGCCAAACGTTCTAACCATCTGGGTTGTTGTTATAATCGCCGCAAAGCCCCCTGGTGGCAGTGAGGTGTTCAGCGGTAACGGTCAGATACACCGTGTTCTCCATGTCAAACTTCAGTCTGACACCCAAACCACTCTCCACAAACACAAAGTCACCCAGCCAGTGAACGCTGACTCCTGACGGCACAAGAAACACACTTTCATCACACAGAATACATACACATATGCTTCGTAAATAACATCAAATGTAATAACTTCCCAAAATGACCTCTTTGAGAATAGAAATACTCCATTCTGCCTTGTGCCATTGTTCAAAAAGAAAGTCAGGGTTATTATCGTTAACTAAATCAAAAACTAGAACTAAAGCTATTAACAGCATTTTTGTTCATTAAAATAAAACATAATGGCCTGGTTTCACATGCAGACAGGGTTTAGGTTAAGCCAGGATTAGGCCATAGTTCAGTTAGGACATTTAAGTATTTTTATAAATGTGCTTTAGAAAATAAAAACACTGAAAGAAAAGAACATTTTAGATGAAAAACTAAAAAACTAAATAAAAATGTTGCCTTTGCAACTAAACCAAAAACGTACAAGCACTAAAATTACGAACTAGAAGTAAAACTAAATCTGAAATAAAAATAAATGAAACCTAATTAATACTATTACAAATAATATTCATTAATAATATTACAAATAATAAAAATGACAAAAGCACATAAAAAAACTAAAATTAAAATAAATAAATAAACCTGAAATCATTAAAATAGAAGCTTATTCAAAATATTTCTAAAACTATAAGAGGATATAAATCTAACATAAACTGCATCAAACTTATGCCATTGGATAAAGATGAGTTTTGAAACTGCGATACATAACATGATATACTGTAGTCGTAGTTATGAAAGTAGCTCTGTGTTTTTCATACCGTTTTGGAAGAGAGGTTCACCCTGCGGTAGTGTTAAACCATTAACAGTCATATTGGTTTTATGTATGGACACCAAGCCAAGACCCAACATCAACCGCAGTCCCTAAAACACAAAACAACCACATAAACATCAGCCAGAACCACCGGCTGCCTGCAATTACTGCTGGACGCTGCACAAAACACAAAAAACAACCATACTCAACATAAAGAATGATGATCATATCCCAAACTCCCAAAACCTATTATATGCTTTGTGTGTGACTGATGTTCAACACAAGCTGCCAAGTTTCTGGCTTTTTGGTTTCATTGTTTTCTGTAGAAGCAGATGTCAATTTTTGATAAATGATTGTTTTGTTTGCTGGAAAATAATCTGAGAAGAATATCTGCTCATAATGAACTGGAACAAACTGAAGCCAGATTCAAAAATGAGTGTGATGAGAATATGAGCTAATTGTATAAAAATTAATTTAACTGACTGATTCTTTTTTCATCAAACAAAGGGACAAAACAAGTTTCCTAAAGATAGTCATATAGGCTAAAACTTTAAACTGAACCTCTGCAACAATTTCAACATAACAAAGCGTCAACATGAAACATGAAATAGCATTTGCAACCAAACTTACCTCTGAATGTGATGTATTTTACAGAAAACCTGGATATTCAGCAAGAATGTGGGACTTGATTTAATACATGAAATACATGTAAAGGACAATTTTTTGGAAATGGTTCATTTTCGATGAAAGATGTGTTTAGAATACACATTCATCCATAACTTCATCTATAAGGAATGATTTTGAATTTTAAAGGAGAAGTCTTTGCAAAAATGTTACTTTTTGATTAAAGATTATGATGACAAAACTTGTTTTTAGAATAGAATGGTCTTTAGGATAAGCAAATTATGCAAAATAAGACCAGAAACAAGTATTAGTAAAATAAATATGGTCAATTTTGACGTTATGTTGAGTTTAATAGACTGTATATGTATATATGTGTGTGTGAATATACTGTAAGTGTGTTCAGTGCAGGTTGTAACCAATTTTGCCTCTGAATGTGAAGCATTTCAGACAAAAATGGGTTTTTAACAAGGAATAAAATGCAGTATGAAACTTGATTTTATCCATCAGGAATTCATTTGATAAAGGATAAGTCTTTGGGAAAAATGTACTTTTTTTAATGAAAGATTAATGAAGATGAAAGGAACATGTTTTTAAAATGGAATAGTCTTTAGAATAAATTAATTGTGCCCAATAAGATTAGAAACAAGTTTTAAGAATTTAAATAAGGTCCATTTTGATTTCATTTGCGTGAAATGGCATTTGCAACCAATTTTGCATCAGAACGTGACATATTTCAGACTAGATATTCAACAAGAAATAAAATGTAGGAGTCGGACGAAATTTGATTTAATCCATTAGGAATTAATTTGATGGATGCTTTTGATGAAAGATTATTAAGACAAAATAGAATTTTTAGAATAGAACAGTATTTGGAATAAACAAATTATGCACCTGAAACTAGTATTAGGAAAGAAAATATGATCCATTTTGAGTTCATGATGACTTTTATAGACATATAAAACAGGTGTGTGTGAATATGAACTCATAGCGAGTGTGTGTTTGTACCTTCCGGCAGTGTCCCGCAGGATCACACTCTGTGCTCATATACACGGCCCACGTCCCGTCAGTGGATGAGGCCAGCAGGTACGTGCAGCTACCCTGGAAGTGGAAGTGTTTCCGGTCAAAGGTGCGGTAGTGTGTCCCGCCCCAGCTCATACAGGTGCCAGACGCCTGCAGACCACGAACACCGCGAAACAGCCCTCCACGAACCACAGGAGAAGAGCTGATGTCTGAGGAGAGACAGCATTTGAGTCAGTAAAGAACCAGGATATATAGTTTGAGGAAAATATGTAGCTGTAAATTTAAGACTTTTGTATTTGAATTGCATGTTAATTTTTTGTTAATTTGGATAACACAGTTTTAACAAAAAACAAAACAAAACCTTAATGTGATGCTTACTTGTCAGTCATACATGAATGAAACAGATCAGATGTCTGTAACAGTACTAAAAAACTGAACGTGTTTTAAATATGCATACTTATATATTTCAATATCAATAAATTCAATTTGTTTCAATTTCATACATTTTAACTAATTGAATTAGTTAAAGAGTTCCACTGCTATATTTTGAACATGCTCATACTTTTTAACTTTATTTTTTTCTGCAAAACAGAATTATGCATTTTTGAATATAGAATTATTTTAATAAAAGCAAATAGATGTAAATTGTTACTAAATATGTTAATATTGCTTGTTCGTCATCTAGCTATATATTTTTTTTACTAAGTTCATGCTTTTTAACTGAATAAATAATTGAAAATGTTATTATATAATTTCTGCATCTATTTGATATTATTGAAATAATCGATAAGTCATGGCAACATGTTTTTCCATTTTAACTTATCAAAAGAATTATTTATCAAAATGAACAGCCATTCCAACTTGGTTTTTTAAGTTGTACAAGACTCAGTCAGTTTAGTGTAATTTGATAATTTTTTATTTCAGGCAGCAATTTCAGAGCTTAAGTTTTTAAAGTTAAACTAGGGTAATTTCTGCATCTATTTGATATTATTGAAATAATCGATAAGTCATGGCAACATGTTTTTCTATTTTAACTTATCAAAAGAATTATTTATCAAAATGAACAGCCATTCCAACTTGGTTTTTTAAGTTGTACAAGACTCAGTCAGTTTAGTGTAATTTGATAATTTTTTATTTCAGGCAGCAATTTCAGAGCTTAAGTTTTTAAAGTTAAACTAGGTGTAATTTTTAAAGTTTAGTTAGTGATAAACAATGCCATGTTGAAATCTGACCTCTTTCATTTATATGACAAATATGCATCACAGTAAGTTTATTATTTTGTCTAAAACTGTGTAATACAAATGGATGGATATTTTAAGTGAATTTCAAATGCATTATGAGTGATGTGATGAACACTAATAACCTGGCAGGAGCGTGTAGGTGCAGGACAGACAGGTCTGATCGGATGCGTTTCTCCAGCTTAAGCCCCACAGGTTACTGCAGCACTGCTCCAGAGCCATCAGAGATGTGTTATGAAGCCCGGGAAACTCCTCACACGTCCAGGTGGAGAAACACTGACCCCGGGCACCAACCCCTGGACAGAGATAGACAGAAAAGGTATGACCAGAAATACACGAATGCATGAATAAGACGTCCTCTGCATAATGTAGAAAGAGAAATAAGAGCATATTCTACAACAAATTCAACATCTGATATCATACGTAGACTGAAAATCCATCTGATCTCACCCTGTGAGCAGTCAGGTCCGGCCCAGCCTTCACAACACTGTCTGACCGTCCGGTTCACTGTCTCTGTCTCAATGTCTGGAGGCCTGAGAGGCAAAAACACCAGCGCTCAACAAAACACATACATGTGATGTGGTCATAACTTTGTTTTGGATATTGATATTGCTATTTACCTGTTTCAATGTTATGTTATTTGCTTGTTTTTAGGTTAATGCCATACATGCTTTAATATAAAAAATGGTTGCACTTGCAATATTCGCTTTGTTAGGATGAATAAGCAATAGTTGTGAAAGTTAGATATCTGAGTTTGATGCTCTGTAATCAACCACAAATGTTAATAACAAGAAGGTACATAGTGGTGAAGAGAGCATCAAGCGGAGATGAGACAGACAAACACTACATTGAAGAAGAGGAAGAGTGCTAGATGCAGACAGGGGAAGGACATTCATCTTATTAGACATGAGTCACAGACATTAATACATTAATTACAATTGCCTCCCATGAGACTTTACTTATAATTACAAACTGAGCTTCAAACAGGAACAACCACAAGGGAGTCTTCTGCATCATTCCTGAAGAACTTCAACCTTCAGGCAGGTGAGTACTTCATGGTTTAGGCTAGATTTGACTATCCTTACAATATCTGAATAATCATAGGGTGAAAGGTGTAAGATAAAAGGACACAACGAGTAACAACGTGATTTAGTAAAAAAAAGGGGTTAATATCTGTCAATTTAATTACACATTTGAATATAAATAGCACAGTAACTTTACAACAATAGTACAATATTAAGAATTATGTGGCAAAAATATGTCAAAAAATATCTATAAAAAATAATTCCTTTCGATTTTGGTGGACAGTCTGATCAATGCATGTTTTAAAAAGACTGTGTGATTCATTCTACAAAAACATTAAATTAAGTCAAAATATATTTCTAGGAATTCTGATGACAAATACGCACATTTTCACTACTCCAAGATTTTATTATCTTCTAGAAATTGCACTTTTAAAAGTTTTTCATATATCCAGGTTTTACCAACACTGAAATATGTCTCTTTTCATCTTGAGTTTTAGTTGTTTTAGCTCATTTTAAAGCTTGCTAATCTTGAAGCCCCCTTGTTGAGAGCCACCAGGTTACACCAAAAAAGTCAGTTTATACTTTTCCCCCCTTTTTACAGTCTGTACAATCCTAATATTAATGCATATGTTTGACATAACTGAGGAAACGTATCTGATCTGACAGAATGAGTGCACTGTAAAAAATGATTGTGATTTTAACAGTAAAAGACTGTAAAAATGCTACAGTAAAAACCTGTTAACTGGTTAACAGTACGTTTCCATACTATATACGGTGAATAAATGTAATTACATTTAATGTAATTTTACAGTAAATGTCACAGATTTTTTTTTTCAGTGTGGGATACTGATGTTTTCCTCACTTGAATATGTAACAGGAAGCTTTAGGTCCCTGTCTCTTGTAATAAAGTGCGATGCCGTCGTCTCCTCCGTGTTCGTGCCTCATTCGCTCCACATCCAGCCTCCAGCCCTGAGTGTTGAACTGATAGACGGCAGAACATTCCACCTCACGCTGAACACGGGGGGAGACCAACCTCTCCACCTTCTCCTCCACCACACGTTCACACCAGTGCCTGAATCAAAGAAGAGTTCATCAGTGACCAATGAGATTATAATTAATTTTACAATTCCTGTGCTAAAGTTACTTATTATTAGGGGTTTGTTTAAATCACTAACCCTAAGATTAACTAAGCTAACAAACAAATGGTACAATTTAAAAATGTGAAATCATTTGTATTTTTTAATGTTAGGCTGTAGTAAAACATCTCACCCCATGACCACGACCAGATTAAACCCCAGCAGAGACACGAGCAGAAACTTCATTGTGTCTCTGAAGAGCTGAAGTTCTTCACCATCAAGTCAAGAAACTGCAATTAAAGAATTAATTAAATTATCTGAGGACGAAATGAAAATATTTATTTAGATCTAAACGATACAGTAAACTTAATATATACTAAAACCAGTAAGAAATTTGGACACATGATAGAATTTGTTTCTCATATGCTTAAGCTTGTTTATAAGCTTGAAATTAGTTTAAAAGACCATTTTAAGTGTGCCTAAACACCAGTGTTGGGTAAGTTACTCTAAAAAAGTAATTAATTATTAGTTACTAATTACATCTTCAACAGTGTAATTAGATTACTGTACAACCTAAACACCAGTGTTGGGTAAGTTACTCTAAAAAAGTAATTAATTATTATTTACTAATTACATCTTCAACAGTGTAATTAGATTACTGTACAAATTACTCTCTCCAAAAAGTATTTAATTACGTATTACGGCCCCACTTTATATTAAGTGGCCTTAACTACTATGTACTTACATAAAAAATTAAGTACAATGTACTTATTGTGTTCATATTGTATTGCAAAACACTTTTGCTGAACCAGTTAATGATACAAGGATAGGCATGAAACAGTTCTTTTAATTCTTTCAAATAAATAATAGATAACTACATAAATTATTCTGGTCACACTTTAGATTAGGGTCCAATTCTCACTATTAACTAACTATTAACTATGATTTTTGCCTCAATATACTCCTAATTACTGCTTATTACTCAGTAAAGTAGTTAAATTCAAGAATTGGGTAGGATTAAAGATTTAGAATAAGGTCTTGCAGAATAAGACATTAATATATGTTTTTTAAGTAATAATAAACAGCCAATATCCCAGTAATATTCATGCTAATAACCAAGTTAATACTGAAAATTGGACACTAAAGTGTTACCAATATTCTTATTAACTCACCAAAGTATTTAAAGTGAGAAGGGTATACCATAAAAAGCGTGCATTTTAGGGTTAGACTTTACATTTTGATGTTAAATCCACTATTGTTTATAAATGTTCTACAGTCTATATACAGTAGTAAGTTGTTACATAAGAAGTAACTGTAATTAAATTACAGAAAAAATAAGAGTAATCCATTACTTTACTTTTTCAAGGGAAAAGTAATTAAATTACAGTAACTAATTACTTAGTAATTAGGAGTATGGACAGGCCCATGGCAGCAGGTGTAAGGCGTGTCATTGGTGGAAAGTCCGGTGGGTCACAGCTGTAGATGCATCAATTAGCTCGTCGTTTGGTGACGCCAATGTTTAGTAGTGCTCCGTCCCAACCGAGGAAGGGGGTAGTGAAGTTAGCAGTAGATCCCTCTGATGGAGGGCTGTTTGTGCAAGTCTAATCCTATAAAGACTCACTTTGGTGGAAGGATTTCAGGGGCGTTTATTTAATAAAGTAAGTCAATAGGTGAGGACCAAGGGGCATGTAAATGCAACTAACATCACTGGCCCAGAGCTTCAGAAGAGATTTGGGGGTGTCCAGACACAAACACAGCTGCCACCATCCAACATTTCCTACAGTTGGAGAAGATCCCTTTTTAGGATGCTCTTTAATGATAGAAAATTGTGCATTCAGTGAAGAAGAAGAAGAGTGTAAGGAGCAGTGTATGTCTTTCCATCCAAGATCAATGCAGTATTGTGTTTGAACGTGTGACCTCTGACCTTTACAGGAGGTTTTCCATGTTAAAATACTTCCTCCAATCGCAGTAGAGTCACTGTTAGTCGGTAAGAGTGCAAACAAGAGAGGTTCAAACATTGAACCATTTGTTTGAGCAACATTAGGTTTGCATTTCATTTGTTAACACTAGTGGTACAGAAGTGAAAGTCTTATGATTCCATCCAGTTTTTCCATCCAATATCTGTACAATATTGAGGTTGAATGAGTGAATGAGGTTTGTGTTTCTTTAAAACCTACCAACCAACACATAGCCTGACGTAAGAACTATACAAAAGCCTATGGAAATGAGTATGGACAGGCCCATGGCAGCAGGTGTAAGGCGTGTCATTGGTGGAAAGTCCGGTGGGTCACAGCTGTAGATGCATGCATTAGCTCGTCGTTTGGTGACGCCAATGTTTAGTAGTGCTCCGTCCCAACTGAGGAAGGGGGTAGTGAAGTTAGCAGTAGATCCCTCTGATGGAGGGCTGTTTGTGCAAGTCTAATCCTATAAAGACTCACTTTGGTGGAAGGATTTCAGGGGCGTTTATTTAATAAAGTAAGTCAATAGGTGAGGACCAGGGGGCATGTAAATGCAACTAACATCACTGGCCCAGAGCTTCAGAAGAGATTTGGGGGTGTCCAGACACAAACACAGCTGCCACCATCCAACATTTCCTACAGTTGGAGAAGATCCCTTTTTAGGATGCTCTTTAATGATAGAAAATTGTGCATTCAGTGAAGAAGAAGAATATGAGTGTAAGGAGCAGTGTATGTCTTTCCATCCAAGATCAATGCAGTATTGTGTTTGAACGTGTGACCTCTGACCTTTACAGGAGGTTTTCCATGTTAAAATACTTCCTCCAATCGCAGTAGAGTCACTGTTAGTCGGTAAGAGTGCAAACAAGAGAGGTTCAAACATTGAACCATTTGTTTGAGCAACATTAGGTTTGCATTTCATTTGTTAACACTAGTGGTACAGAAGTGAAAGTCTTATGATTCCATCCAGTTTTTCCATCCAATATCTGTACAATATTGAGGTTGAATGAGTGAATGAGGTTTGTGTTTCTTTAAAACCTACCAACCAACACATAGCCTGACGTAAGAACTATACAAAAGCCTATGGAAAAGAATGAAAACTGAGACATATCTACTGCGTTATGGATTTCAAATAATAAAATGAGCATAAAGAGCAATACAGGAATAAATGAAGGTGAAGGAATAAGTTTGCGAAGATCTTAAAACAACATTTTGTTCTCAGGAGCCAAGGGTGTAGAACGCTGTGTCCCTACCAATATCCAGTCACTACTAAATTGTCTCTAGCAATAATTTTAATCAAACAATTAAATATATGTATATGTAACCACTGTGGTTGTAATTTCGGCAGCATCTGAAGTATACCACTGATATTACCATATATAACAGCGCACTGTTCAACATTCACTTCAATGGTATGAGATGACTGGATTTTGTTTTGTTTGTAAACATCATGCTTTTTCACTTAATGTCATAAAACTAGTGAGATAAGCCAGTAGTAGTACTGACAGTGTCGTGTAAACATGGCTGGAACCACTCCAACTGATTAAAACTCAAACTCGATTCACTAGCAAAAACAGATCAAAAGAGCCATTCATTTTAAAATTTCGACATTGCTTGTAATGATTTTAAAAAGCATGTAGTGTTGGATAAAACAGCTTTTCGAAACTCAAAATCAGTTAAACCATTGCGTCGCATAATGATTCACTGTTTTGATGAATCTTATGAGTGTAAGGAGCAGTGTATGTCTTTCCATCCAAGATCAATGCAGTATTGTGTTTGGACGTGTGACCTCTGACCTTTACAGGAGGTTTTCCATGTTAAAATACTTCCTCCAATCGCAGTAGAGTCACTGTTAGTCGGTAAGAGTGCAAACAAGAGAGGTTCAAACATTGAACCATTTGTTTGAGCAACATTAGGTTTGCATTTCATTTGTTAACACTAGTGGTACAGAAGTGAAAGTCTTATGATTCCATCCAGTTTTTCCATCCAATATCTGTACAATATTGAGGTTGAATGAGTGAATGAGGTTTGTGTTTCTTTAAAACCTACCAACCAACACATAGCCTGACGTAAGAACTATACAAAAGCCTATGGAAAAGAATGAAAACTGAGACATATCTACTGCGTTATGGATTTCAAATAATAAAATGAGCATAAAGAGCAATACAGGAATAAATGAAGGTGAAGGAATAAGTTTGCGAAGATCTTAAAACAACATTTTGTTCTCAGGAGCCAAGGGTGTAGAACGCTGTGTCCCTACCAATATCCAGTCACTACTAAATTGTCTCTAGCAATAATTTTAATCAAACAATTAAATATATGTATATGTAACCACTGTGGTTGTAATTTCGGCAGCATCTGAAGTATACCACTGATATTACCATATATAACAGCGCACTGTTCAACATTCACTTCAATGGTATGAGATGACTGGATTTTGTTTTGTTTGTAAACATCATGCTTTTTCACTTAATGTCATAAAACTAGTGAGATAAGCCAGTAGTAGTACTGACAGTGTCGTTTAAACACGATCCAACTGATTAAAACTCAAACTCGACTCATTAACAAATCATTTGTAATGATTTTAAAAAGCATGTAGTGTTGGATAAAACAGCTTTTCGAAACTCAAAATCAGTTAAACCATTGCGTCGCATAATGATTCACTGTTTTGATGAATCTTTTGATTCAGATTGGGACTTCAAAATGCAGATCGTGAATCATTTAATTTAGATCGGGACTGCGGAGCACGAATCGCTTGAATGAGGATCCGCTGTTCTTTAGGGAATATTTGTCTTTTCTCCATATTACAATAGGCTACTTCCTCCAAATCCAGAAAAATTTCGACATTGCTTGTAATGATTTTAAAAAGCATGTAGTGTTGGATAAAACAGCTTTTCGAAACTCAAAATCAGTTAAACCATTGCGTCGCATAATGATTCACTGTTTTGATGAATCTTTTGATTCAGATTGGGACTTCAAAACGCAGATCGTGAATCATTTAATTTAGATCGGGACGGTGGAGCGCGAATCGCTTGAATGAGGATCCTCTGTTCTTTAGGGAAAATTTGTCTTTTCTCCATATTACAATAGGCTACTTCCTCCAAATCCAGATTAACATGTAGAGTAAGTCGATTTGACTTCCTACAGAGTGTAAACAAGAGAGTTTCAAATATCGATCCATTTGTTTGAGCGGCGTGATATAGCAACATTAGCTTATGAATCCATCCAATTTTCATACAATCCATACAATATTGTGCTTGAACGAGTGACCTCTGACCTTTAGGGGAGGTT